CTCAAGGTGAGGCCTCAGCAGTGCCCAGTCCAGGGGCAGAATCCCTGCCCTGCTCCTGCTGCCACACTGTTCCTGACACACTGCCCCTCTCCTGGGATTGCTGGCTGTCAGGGCTGGTGGCACGTTCATCCCCAGGTTGTACAGTTGTCTGGAAAGCTGCACACACACATCTGTTCATGGCCTGGCACCTCCTCCCTTCATCCCTTTCTCCCAGACAGAAAATAGAAGCTTGAGAGCAGAGAATGACCCAAGACAGAGACACGTCAGAGCTGCAGGACAGCATGAGCTGGGGACAGGCACTGCCACAGTGGTGAGAGGATGAGAGGAATGAAACAGAAACAAGATGTTCCCATGGGGAAAAATAATCACAGCTCCTCAAACTACACAAAAAAATGTATCAACCACAGAATTCTCTCAGGCACCAGAGAATCAACCAACCACTACAAGCTGATGAAATGTCCCTGTTTTGGGGTAGACTTTTGTCCTCTATTTTAAGGCAGCTGCTCAGGAAGCTGCATAAGAAGCTGATCACATCTGGCACTGCCCACCCTGCTGTGTGTGAGGCCCTGCTGCCTCTGTGCCTGCTCTCACTTTGCTTCTTCCCCTCACATTTCCCTGTCTGCTTTCCATTCACTGTCCATACCTGGGAGTAAATATCCTTGTAACAAACTTGGGACCCACCCCTATCTATTAAAGCAAGAAAGAATGCAGCTCCATGGAAATAATCCCCCAAACTCCTATTATTAGCTTTCCGTAGCTACATTAATTTTAGAAGGAAAATTAGGTCCAAAGTGCTGGGCTCATTTTAATGAAGATTCACAGTCACAACTGAATCCCTTGACGAGGAAGAATCAGCTTTTGAGCACATCAGACTCATTGCAAACTCCTCACAAAGTCATCAGTGTCTGACGGGGGTGGCAGGAAAACGGGCTAAAAGGGAGCGATTCCGTGTAGGGATTGGAGCGAGCAGGACTTTCTGAACCTGCACTTCCCTTCCCCGCCTGCAGCCGCGGCAGCTCCGGGAGAGAGATGAAAGCACCCGGCACAGGAGATAAACAAGCAAACAGCTCTGAAACAGTCACGCTGCCAAAACAACCCGGGGAGGATGGGACGGGAGATAAAAGAGAAAGTGCTGGAGATTTTGGAGTGACTTCCAGGTGGGGCTGGAATTAGGGAGCGGAGCTGGCACCAGAGTGAGCTCCCCTGGGCAGGGTTGGATGTGCAGCAGAGGCATTTCCTCTGCAAGCATCTTGTCCTTTCCTTCCTTTCCACAGCCAGCAACGCGGCTTCAAATCCCAGGAAAGTCTCAGAAATCCAACATTGCTCCTCGGGGACTGTTTCCTTCTTTCCACATTTACTTTAGCTCTTTCTATCCCCTATTTTGGCTGCAGGCCATGGGATTATATGGGATATCCAGGGAGACTCTGTCCTTCTTTAGCTCGTTGGTGTTGATAAATTGAGCAGGAGGAGGCAGAGGCATCAGAGTGTTTCATCATTACCTCGGGGTGATAAAGCCACGGTGGGATCAGAGGAGCACTTGGAGCTGGTTCTGGAGGCTGTGCAGACACACTAAAACAAGGCACATCTCAGACCCCAAATATTCTGGGGGGCAAAATACTTAACATTTAGTGCTGTTCTCCAGGGAGATAGTTCCACCAGGCTTTTCCTGTGCCCTTGTAACATTTGGCAAAAGGGCAGAGGAGTGTCAATGGTTTATGGCCCAAAAACTCTGGCTCTTGTCCCCTGAGGACTGACCTCAGCAGGTCCTTGCCCACCTGGGAGAGGGTGCTGGGTTTTCTCCCCTCCTCTAGGCACAGCTGCTGCAGAGACCTCAGGTCCTGTATTGGTGTGCAGGGACTGCCCAGGGGAGGGAAGGACACAGGTTGCTCCATCCTGATGCCTCCCACACTTCACAAAGCCTTGGAGAAGCAGAGACATAGTTTCAAGGCAACTCAGGGCTGAAGGTGCTTTCTGTGGTGCATTTGATGAGGACATGCTGGAAGGCCCACAGGGTTTGGAGACGGCCTCCCAGCATCAGTCAAGTCTGCTCTGTGACCCTGCATGTCAGGTTTTGGAGGTGCCCCATAACAGGAGCATTATTTCCCAGGGGTGGACAGGTGAGCTGGGCTCATGGGATTCGGGGTTCAGAAGGGTGCATGCACTAAACCAGCTCAACCTTCCACCTGGGTGCTCACATGGCCACACTGGTCCTACACCTCAGCTTGGGGTTTGGGTTCAGGCCCTGCTGAGGCCTGAGGACACCCTGGCATGGATTTAACAGGGTGACCTGGGCACCTCCCTCACACTCAGTACTCCTTGGGCCGTGCAAGGGTGGGGCTTCTTGAAGAGTTAAGTGATTACCTGATTTCCCCAGGTGTCCCCCAGCATCAGAGCAGCTTTAGATGGCAGAGCTAAAGCTTTCTTTGCCAACCTGTCAGTCCATGGGCTCTCCTAAGAGAGTTATAAAATGAGTTGTGGGCATTCAAACCTTTGGTAACTTGAGGAAATGATTTACAGGGCGTAGGCAGGGGATTTTTTAGGGATAGTTCTCCCTTTCCACTGCTCTTTTCCCCCTACATCCCATTCCCTACTCTCCTGAAAACCACTTGCCTGCAGCTACAGGGCATCAGTTCAGTTCCCATCTTCTTGTGCTCCCATTGCTGTGATTCCTCTCTGTCCTCTGTGTGTCCTTCCAGCTGGTAGCACCTTGGATGTCTTCAGGAAATGTTTGTAAAGGCTTTAGTTTAGTTTGCAATGGGACACGGGGGAGGCACCAGGACTTTGAGGAAATTCTGGCTTGGTGGCCCTGGCTCACAGCACTGAACTCTCTGTGCCTGAAGAAACCTTGCTCAAAACTGCCTTAACCAAACCTGTGGTGGCTGTGCCCGGGTCACTGGGCATGGCCAGTCCAGGGCATTGCCAGCCCACCCCTGCAGCACCCAGAGCTGCCCTGGAGGGGACCCAGTTGGAAGTGGGGAGTGTCTCAGACAGGTTGGGGTGGGGAATGCCACCTTCTCCACCCTGAGCCTTTGCAGCAGAGAATTGAGACTCGGTTGGGCTCAGTGAGGTGCCAAGGGCCCCAGGCTGGAGTAGCAATCCCTGTGGAGCCTGGGAGCCTGTCCCTGTGCAGGGGTTCACAGGGCAGGGGAGACAGCACGGCCCTGGTGGGGCCTGACAGCCCTGGGGGCAATGTCTGCCCAGCACCAGGTTGTGCTGCCCTGGGACAGGAACCTCCTGGAGGCACATGGTGGGATTCTTGGGGTGTCCTGTGCAGAGCCGGGAGCTGGACTTGGATGGTCCTTGTGGGTCCCTTCCAGCTCAGAGTGTTCTGTGGTTCAGGAGAGGTGAGGGAGCTCTGCCCCTGAGCTGAGTGGGACAGACCCCTGGACTCCACCAACCCTGGGAGGCTGCACGTGTCTCTGGGGCCCCCAACCCAAACAATTTGTGCACATTTTAGGTCCTGCTCATGCATATCCATGAAGATTGTGCCTCCCCCACACACTGACAGGGAACATATCACATGTCTAGGGCATCCCTGACACTCCACACACCTACAGGGTCTATGGAGCCCTCAGACACCCACAGGGACCACATTCCCCACACAGATTGATCCATAAACTCTTACAGGAACAATCCCCAGTGCGCACACTGAGGGGCCATACAGACTGCAAACCTACAGCCACCATGGCCCCTCTGTGCCCACGAGGGGGCTGCTGTCCCTACACCTCCAGAGGGACTGTACCCACAGCTGAGCCAGTGGGAACACATCCCTGTCCACCCCAGTCCCCAGGGACAGGGACAGGGGCCACTCACCACACACACCCATAGGGAGCAAATCCCTGCCTACCCCTGCAGGGACCCCATCCCCAGGGACACGTGTAGTGACCACACACAGGGACCCCATCCCTGCAGGGACCACGTCCACAGGGACAGGTAGAGGGGCCACATACACCATTAACGACCACATTCCTGCTCGTTCCTGCTGGGACCACATCCCCTGGGACAGGTACAGGGATCACACACCTATAGGGAACACATCGCTGCCCATCCCTGCAGGGACCAAGTCTGTAGGGACAGGGACGGTGGCCATACACACCTTTAGTAACCGCATCCCTAGAGGGACCACATCCCCAGGGACAGGTACAGGTGCCAGACACACTTACAGGGACATCCTTGCCCATCCCCGCAGGGACCACATCCCCAGGGACAGGTACAGGGGCCGCATCTACAGTGACCACGCCACTGCCACCGCTCCGGGTGCGTTCCCACGCGCCCCGCCGGAGCCACCCCGGGGCCGGCGGGTCGGTGCGGGTGCGGGTGCGGGTGCGGGTGTGGGTGCCGGTGCGGGCGTGCGGAGCTCCCCGCCCCGCGCGGTCCGGGGCTGAGCGCGGGTTCCCCGCGGTGCGGGCGCGGTGCCGGTGCTGCCGGTGATGTCAGGAGCGGCCCGGCAGCGGTGGGCGGTCCTTCCCCGGCTCTGCCCGGCCCCTGCTCCGCGCCCGGCCCGGCTCCGGCGCCGCTCCGCCCCCGGCCGCGCTGGGAGCGCGGGCAGCCCCGCGGCCCCGCTGCAGTCCCGCTCCGGCATGGTAAGGCCGTGGGCGGGGGGCGTGCGGGCGGGGGCGGGCCGGGCTGCCCGGGGCGCGGCGGGCTCTCACCCTCTCCCCGTCTCTCGCAGCCCCTCTCCGGAGCAGCGCCGGGACCCCGCCGCCTCCAGCCCCGCTCCGCCGGGCTCCGCCGCTCGCCGCCCGCCGGCATGAAGCGCCCGGCGCCGGGCAGCCGCCGCTGAGGAGCCGCGCGGCAGCAGCGGGACCCCCCCGTGCCCGCACCCCACCCCCGCCCGCCCCGTCCCCACCCCGCTCCATGGGGCAGCGCCGCGGCCGCTGAGCCCCCCCCGCGCCGCCCGCCCGCCGCCCCCCGCGCCGCGCCCCGCGCCCCCCGCCTCGCCCCCCGCCATGGGGCCGCGGCACCTGCTGCTGCCGCTGCTCCTGCTCTGCCTGCAGCTCCTGGCCCTGCTGCTGCTGCCCGCGCAGGCGGCCGGCCCCCCCCGCGCCAAGGGCAACCGGACCCAGGGGGCGGCGGCGGCGCGGCGGACCCCCAAGCCGGGCAAGGAGCTCCTGAACCAGACGCTGGCGGGGCCCGGGGTCGCCGCCCCCACGGCGCTGCCCGGGCGCGGCAAAGGCGCGGGGGGCGGCAAGAGCCCCCCCGGGGGCGGAGGCGGCGGAGGGGGCTCGGCCCCGGCCCACGAGACGTGCTGGGGGTACTACGACGTGAGCGGGCAGTGGGACAAGGAGTTCGAGTGCAACAACAGCCTCACGGGCTTCCGCTACTGCTGCGGCACCTGCTTCTACCGCTTCTGCTGCAACAAGCGCGCCGAGAAGCTCAACCAGAGCTTGTGCCGCAACTACAAGAGCCCCGAGTGGGCCCACCCCACCACGGCCAGCGGAGCCCTGCCCGCCGACGGCGGCGACGGCGGAGACGGGGACGCCAACAAGTACGACCCGGACAAGGACAGCACCAACGCCACCGTCTACATCTCGTGCGGGGCCATCGCCTTTGTGCTCATCGCCGGCGTCTTTGCCAAGGTGGCCTACGACAAGGCACGGCGCCCGCCCCGGGAGATGAACATACACAGGTGCGCCCCCTCCCCTGCCTCCAGCGCCCTCCCGGCCAGGGACAGCCCCCTCCCTCTCTGAGTGTTCCCCCTTTGCAAAGTCTACTCAAGGGTTTCCTCGTTGCATTCCCCATCCAAGGGTTTCCCACTTGTGCAGCCTGTCCAAGAGTTTCCCCATTGCATGAGCCTTCCAAGAATTCCACCTTTGAACTGGCTGTCCGAGGGTTCGGTTTTTACACCACCTGTCCAAGGAGTCCCCTTTGAACTACCCATTCAAGTCCTTGTGCTTTGCACTGGCCGACCGTGAGTTTCCCCTGCTCCACCTTCCACGGATTTCCCCAGTGCCATGGCTGTCTAAGGGCTCCCCTTTTGTGCCACCTGTCCAAACGATCTTCCATCGTGCTGTCGCTTCGAGGGGTCCCCCCTTGAGTCACTCACCCAAGGGTTTTCCCCTGGCTGTCCAAGAGTTCTCTCTTTGCACCACACGTCAAAGGATTTTCCTTTTCCATTCTCTATCCAGGAGTTCCTCCTTTGCACGTTCTTATCAGGGACACCCCCACCTCTCGGTGCCTCCCTCCCGTCCCACCTTGGTGCCTGTCCTGCTGCCCCACGGCCCCGTTCGGGGGTCGCCGTCCCGTGGCTTCAGCGCCGGCTCCGCGGACAGTTCCGTGCGCGGTTGCACGGGCAGGACCGCGGACAGTTCCATGGACAGTAACGCGGGCAATGCCGTGCACGGTACCGCGGACAGTTCCATGGACAGTTCCATGGACAGTTCCGCGGACAGTTCCATGGACAGTTCCATGGGCGGCTCCGCGCTGCCGAGCGCCCGGCCCGGCCCTCCCCGCGGAGCCGCCCCCTCCGGCATTCCGGCACCCCCACCCTACATCCCGGCACCCCGACACCCCTCTCCTTCCTCCCGGCACCTCCCTCTGCATCCCGGCACCCCCGGCACCCCGGCACGCTGGTACCCCGGCATCCCCCTCTGATCTCTGGTACTCCAGCACACCCCTCTGCACCCGGGCACGACCCCCCTCCAATCCCCTGGCACCCCCCTCCCGTCCCCCGACATTCCCCTCCTCCCCCTCGGCACCACGGTACTGCCTTTCTACCCCCCGGCCCCGCCCCTCCTGCCCCTGGTACCCACTCCTGCTGCCCTCCAACACCCCCCTATTGCCCCCCCGGCACTCCCGTCCTGCTCCCCAGCACCGCTCACCCTCCCTCCTGCCCCCGGGCACCCCCTCCTGCGCCCGGGCACTCTGGCACCTCTCCTGCACCCCGGCCCTCCCGGCACGCCCTTCCTCCTCCCCCCCAAGACCCCCCTCCTGTCCTTCTTCCCCCTGGCACTTCCCTCCTTCCCCCTGCCACACCCCTCCTGCCCCCCAAAACTCCCCTACATCTCCCCCGGCCCCCTGCACCCCCCACGCCCCCGGGGGCAGCAGAGCCCCTTGGCCCCTGTGGATTCTGCCCTGCCTGGCCCAGCCAGGAGAAGTTTAGGAAGTGTGGAGGGGACGGCTCTGACCCCCTGGATGGTGCCTTTGCCTTGTGGTGCCAAGGGCTGTGTGGGAAAGCGCTGGTGGTGGGGAGAGCTCTGCATCTGTCCTTTTTTATTTCTTATTTTATCCCCTCTAAACCCTGCTAACTCTGTCCTTGCTGGTGTAGGAGTAGTTTGGGGTCCCCTCAGCAGTGCTGTTACACATGTCTGAGAACACTCGACGTGTCAGAGAAAATCCTGTTTCAAAGCAAAAGCTCAGGCTGCTGTAGCAATTCTCATTTTGGACGAATGCATCTACTCTCTCAGTTCATATTTATTTTATGATGAAAAAGTCCCTCCAAATGATGAGTGCTCCTTGCGTGCCGAGAATCCAAGAGCTTCCCGTGTCTGAACGTAAAAATTGGTGAGAGGCTCCTTTATAAGAACACTGTGAGTGGGGAAAGACTATCTCTGGCAGATAATGTTTCATAAAAATTATTTTAATTTGGAATTGTTAGTCAAAACTATTAAAATCATTGACCATATTTTTAAGGCTGAACTCCAGTTGCAGTTAACAGAGACTGGAGAAAGAAAGTGGAGGTTTTTACAAAGAAAAAGAGATGAGTGACACAGTTTTTATGTATTTGGGGAGATGTGTTTTATTTAGACTCCTCCCTGAGAATGGACGTGCCTGCAGTGAGGCCAGGCTGGTTTACACTTGCTGAGGGTCTGACCCACATATTCCATCCCAAACCCCACCTGCCCCTGGTCTCGCAAGGAAATACCTCCATGGTGCTAAAAACCAGACCCAGCTGCGGTGTGGTGAGGGGTCCTGAGAGTGGCTCAGCCAGAAAAGAGGCTCCTTTAAGTGTTCTGTTAACTGAGGGCTGGTTCCCCAGCTGCCCAGCTCTTCTGGCTTCGAGGCAACTTTGCCTGGGCCTTATCTTCACACTAAATTTGGAAATCTGGGTTGGATGCCCATATGTTACTTCTGCTCCAGCTCCAGCGTGCTACAGGGCTGAATCCTTCACCCTTGGAAATCAGAGACAGCCTTGCCAGACTTGTCTGGATTATTCCTGATGTTTTCATGTCTTTGATGCTTGCTTTGCTTTATTTAGAGAAGTTCTGCTGAAATGATTCACCTGTGTGTAGAGTTATGAATGGCAGATTGAGTGCTCGGGAAGCTTGACTTCCAGAGCATTTTCAGGAGTTGATTGACTTCTATAATATGATAGCTGGTAACAGATTATACCTTTCAGAGCTGTGTTACCTGAACTTGATCAACACTGCACGATGGTTTAAATATTATGAAGTGCCAGAGGCTGCATCAGGCTGAGGAAAAACGCTCTCAGTGGTCTAAGCAGAACATAAATACGAGGAGTGGAATGGCTTGTCTTTGTCTCTGTCAGCTGCTGAGGACTAACAGGGAAGGAGGGAATCAGGATGTGCTCAGATATTTCTATTTGTTTGAGGCTGTGTCTATTGGAGTGAAGTGTAAGTTCCAGAATAATTCAGTGTAGTGGTGGTGAGTACATTAAATCTCCGTGTGCATCCCAGCAAAACCTCTGGGATGAGGAGGAGAGCAGCAGAACAAACAGAAACTGCTACAGAGGGCTGGAAACAGCCCCTTAGGACCAGTACCCCACATTCAGGGAAGATTAATCAAGACTTGCCTGCACTTCACCACGAGCAAGATCACACTGTAAATTCTATTTCCTCGTGAATGGTCGGATAGAGGTGCTGTGTGTAGATGTTATTTCTCTGTTCATTTCTCATCCAGCTTTTACAGAAAATCCTTATTAACTCACTCAGAAAGATCATTTGGAGGGAGGCAGGGCTCATTTAATGTCTTTTGATAGAAGGAGGGTTTACGAATTCACCGGAGAACTGTCACTCTCCTGTGAAATGAAAGGCTGGCTGTGCACAGAGATGTGCATGTGCAGCTCAGAGCTGGAATCAGCTCTTGTTTCCAGGCACTACAACATCCCTTTAAAGCAGAGGCACTGCTGGGATTCTGGGCTCAGCAGTGGCAGTGACTGAGACGCTTGTTTCTGAGAGCAGTAAGTGGAAGAGCTTTGAAAAACAGCAGCTGAAATATTCATATTTTGCACAAGCGCTTGTAATGCTTTGAACTGAACTGATTTTTAATGGTTTTAGGATCTTTCAGCCTGATCATACAGAATTACCTCTTGGCTGGGTTTGCTTTGGAGTTCCACAGCCAGAACTATTGCTGAGCTCCAGCTAGAAGCTGGGGCTGATTTCTGAGAGTTGTAGCCAGCGATATTATGTTGATGCTCTCTGTCTGCGCTTGTGAGGATGGTTTGTTTTCATCAGTTTGTCAGGTTTTTATTTTTTTCTCAAGCATTTCTTAAGTGGGCAGAGTATTTGCTTTACTTTCAGGATGGGGATGAGCTAAGGAATCTTTGAACAAGGAGTATCAGCTGTTTGGTTGCAAAGCTGTTTTTCTCTAGCAAGGAGGGGTGACCCAGAATATTCTCTTACCGTGGCCATGACCCCAAATCCCCAGGCTCCAGTGCATAAATAATTCACAGATAGTAGTATCGCTCCCTGACCCCTGTTTAGCCCTCAGCAGCAGCCACTGTGCTCTCTGCTGAGCTAGAAATGCACAAATTAGGACTGGTTACAGTCTACAGAGAGGGATTGAAATATTCCAAGTGCTTCCCACATGGTCAGCCCAAGGCAGAGGGAGACAGTGGCAGTTCTCCTGTAGGAGATTTTCCCCAGTAAACCAGCTCTGTATCCTGCTCTAAAGTTGTCTTCCTTATCTGGCCTTGCCTGGAGTGTGATGGTGCAAAGGGCACAAACAGGCACCTTCTGCCCAGAGCTTCCCTTTCCCTGCTCCTACATCAGCTGTGTCGCTGCAGAGGGAAAGATCCCTGTGCTGCTCTTCTCCTTGGCCTCTGCCTTTGCTCCTCCTGCCCTGTGAATAATAACACTGACTGGTTTTATAAATGACCACCCTTTTCCCATGTAGAGACCACGGTGCCATTTTTACCTGGCAGCTCTGAATTTCCACGGGAATCTGTTTGCCCTCAGACCCGGGCAGGCTGGGGCACTGGTTTAGGCGAGGCTGACAAAGTACAGGAGGGTTTCTGTTCCTGCAGGCCGGTGCACTGCTCTCTGTGAGGCTTAACTCAGAGGACAGGAGGCTTTCTGTTCCTGCCTCTCCCCACAGCTCTGGGCCCGGTGCTTGCTGAGGGCTCGCTGGAGGGCAGCTGCTTTCAGCTTGGGAAGCTCCTGCAAAGTGCCTCTGTCTGGCCAGGCTGAGTCAAACGGGATCCCAGCCGGCTGTGCTCTGCTGCCTGTGTCCCTGCAGCCCAGCGATCAACCTTCACACCTCCCCAGGGCAGGGAGAGAGTGCTCGAACACACACCTGCCCGGGGGACTACGCTGAAGGCTTTTTCTTGGACACTGTTGCTGCTTTCAGTCTCTTTCCACTGATGTGGTTTTTTTTCATGCTCTGACGTTTTTACTCCCCTCAGACCCACTTTCTGCTGCTCCTTGCCCTGCTTTGTGCTGTTCGCTCCTG